CTGTGGTGATCTTGGAACCCAGAAAGATAAAATCTGACACTACCTCCATTTCTTCCCCATCTATTTGCCGGGAATTGAGAGCACCGGATGCCATGATCTTGATTTTCTTCCAGTGACCGCATACTGATTAGGGCACATCTGAATTACAACTACTCATTATCCCTTTGTTAACACCTGATCATGGTGGGGCAATATCTCTCATAAGATCAAGGTTAATAGTGGTTATAATTAATTGGTCCAGACATAAGAAAATTCCCTTCTTCTTTCCAGGTTAACAGAAAATGGTGACCCAAAGAAGACACCCGTCCTTGCACTATGAGGTACCTGAGGATTTTACTCACTCGCCCCTATTATGTAACATTGGGAGAAATCTGTTGGCATGCGTCATCAGCAGCAAAATGCTGTCTCAGTGTCTGGAGTCTGAGAGGGTCTGGGTGACGAAGAACATATTTGGGTTAACTAGAAAATCTATGGATTTGTAAACCAACTGAAACTAGTTATATTCCTTCTTTATTTTAGATGGGCATGTTCCTCTAGGCCAGGGGTAGGCGACCTTGGCTCTTTTATGATTTGTGGACTTCAACTCCCAGAATTCCTGAGCCAGCCATGCTGAGAGGAAGGGAGAGTTTCCAAGCTGGCTCATGAATTCTGGGAGTTGAAGTCCACAAAAGAGCCAAGGTTGCCTCCCCCTTGCGCTAGGCTGAACTGGCTTGTAACTTGGGAAACCTTCTATCCTCAGAGCTTGAGCAACGGCTTTTAGCTGTGGTTTAAAAGACATTTTATCAATTATGATCATTCCTGCATGAAGAGGCCTGTACACAGCTATTTATGATTTGATCTCTTCTTGACTGAACCTCTTCATCCTTCGTATTATGTTTACAGTTATTATAATTTAGTTCACATGAGACTTTCCTTGAAAACTACTCAGAAGCTACTGTTGGTCCAGAACGGAGCGGCTTGATTAGTTAAGGGCATTTTAACACTTCACTTAGTTAAAATGTCAGTTGACTTCCAGAGACAATTCAAAATGCTGGTTGCTGCCTTTAAAAAAAACCTTTAAAAGCCTTCAAGCTGTTCTTTCAGAAGTGTTTGAACTTTGATAAAATAATGAGCTCCCATCCTGTGGCAAGTCACTGTTGGGTTTACTGGGAAATATATTCCTCAGTATGATGAATGTGAAGGTTATGAATATTATTTGCTCTGTATTATGAAATATTTATTACTTTAATCTTTCTTGTTTGCCTTTTTGAAGTATAAGTGCCTTGCAGTGGTTAAATAAATATTGATACTATCTAATGAACCAATGACAGTACATTTTGCCTCTTGTTATCTTCCTCACAGCCATGACTTAAGTTCAGCTGCTTTTTTGGCCAGTGACAATTTTATTTCCATAGATTCATATCTAGCTAAAAGCTATCCTGTTGTGATGCAATTATTGATTTAAAGTTGATACACCTGCCACTTGTAAATCCAAACTGGTCCCCAGGCTGCTATGAATGCCTGCTGAGCAGAATCACATTAATAAGATTCTTAGATCCATGGAAAAGTGAATTTCAATTAAGGAGCAATTTTCCTTCTGTCTGGGTTATCTACTACTGGCTTGGGGGACTCGGAATTGTTTGGCAAATGTAAATTAACTCCTGCTAAACAATTATCTTCTACTGGTGACTCTCTTCATTTTCTCTCAAGTACTGCCCATCTTGAGAAGTTTGATTTATAATCTTGTGGGAATTCTGTCAACACAGGCCAGGGACACTTGGCCAAGAGATTAGTGATTCTGCCCTCAGGTTTTCGGATTTCAGAACTGAAATGAAATATGGTGTAGGCTGTTGTCTGCGCTTTAGGTACACTTGAGTGTTATAATTTTAATGCTTAATAGAGCCGACAGCCAATCAAAACTTGGGAATAAAGGAATGAAGATATGAAAAGAGCTCTTAAGTATTGGTCAAGGATTTCATGCTCCCTCTCCAGTTTTGCTGCATGAAAACAGAAAATCTCCCCATCCTTTTGTTGAAAGAAAAGTCTTCATCCTGCTTCATCCAAGCTTGGAGTCCCATCTCTGGGGTGCCAAATTGTTGAAACAAAAGTCTTCATCCTGGTTCATCCAAGCCAGGGATAAACAAACAACATGGCCACTGCTTTAGAAAGAAGGTTGCAGTTTATTGAAGAGGCAGAAAGATGGTTCTTGCAGGAAAGATCAGAGGAAAAAAAGGGAAGGGCACACGGGTAGTAGGTTTTTATACCCTCTCTAGCCTTTTGTTTGGAATAGTTTCCTGTTCCTTTGGCATGAACTTTGAGGCTATTTCCTGTGTCACATATTCTGACCTGAGTCTGGGTGTGCCCTCTAGCCTTTGTGAGTTAATCCTACCATGTCTTGTCACAGGTGGGGCATGCAGACTTTAGGTCTTTTGTCTTCTTGAACTTCTGGCTCCAACTTTCCTGATGGTTTACATTTGCATTTATACAGGGCTGGCTTCTGCTTGGAGGAGGGAGACCTGGGGCTATCAAGGAAAACTGGGCATGTTTTTCTGTCTCTTTAAGATCCTTGAAGGAAATATATTTTTCTGCCCTTTTTAATATTTCCTTCTCTGGGGAGCTAACTTCCCACACTTTCCTTCAAGCAAACAAAAATGGATGGATCCTTTCACCCAGCATGGTAGATGTAGATCAGGGGTGTCAAACTGCTGGCCTGCGGGCTGGATGTGTCATGCCGAAACTGCGCCCACCCCAGCTCTGGCAATGGGGAAAAAGTTGCGATACATCACGACATATCATGTGACATTGCAAAATATACAAAATAAGTTACATTTTTTTTTAACCCAGGAGAAATTTAATAGTTGAGCTAAACTCTAACAATATTAACTTGCAGCAAAGAATGGCTCTAATCAGAGCAAAAGCATTGTTGAAAGCAATCCGTTTTCTAGGTGTGGGAGAGATGGCACCTTTATTTGAAACCTCCCTAATTAAACCAAGAGTTTATTTCAACTACTACAAAAATTTTAAAAAAAATAAATTATCTGAAACCCTCCACTGACATTTAAGGAGAGAATCACTCTCCCTTCTTCTACCTCAGTCCCAATTACGGCAAACCAAACAGGAAAACAAGATGAGAAATACAGCATTCCTGACACTTTTACACATTTTCTATTGCATGGCAGCACTAAAGAGTGAGAGCTGCCATTGAAATAGTCAAGACGCCTCAAAGAAGTACAGTGCTGATGGCACTTTGGAACCCCCATTCCCCAGGAGCAGAATAGGGTCTCTTTCTTCTCTGAGAACCTGGGAAGGGGAAAGAGATGGGGTGAGGAACATCTCCTTGACAGCAGCTATTGGCACCAGAAGTCCGATCATACAGGTGAGATCAAAGAACTGCCATCAAAGAAACCGTTATCGTATCATTTCTCCTCTCCCCAATTCTCTCTCTCCTCCTTGTGGGGGATGGGAAGAGAGGAGAGCAGGGAAAGTGGAGCAAGGAAAAGAATTCTCACCCTTTCCTGAGGGACTGTGGCCTGCAAAGCCACCCAGGGGAAGCAACTCTGCAACCTGTGTCCCCACCCCACCCGGGGAGTACAAGGTGCAAAGTTACTTCTCTTAGTTGCAATGCTCCTCTGCCTTAAAATGCTTTAAGGCTTTGGGTAGCCTTGTACTGTGTAAGAAGCTTTAGGGCATGAAACACCTATCCCAGGGTAGGCAACCTTGGCTCTTTTATGACTCGTGGACTTCAACTCCCAGAATTCCTGAGCCAGTATGGCTCAGCTTGGAAACCTCTCCCTTTCCCCTCAGCATAGCTGGCTCAGGAATTCTGGGAGTTGAAGTCCACGAGTCATAAAAGAGCCAAGGTTGCCTACCCCTGACCTATCCGGTGTTCTCTATAACAGGGGTGGGGAGCGATGGCCCTTTAATGACTTATATGGACTTCCAAAATTCCCGAACCGGCCATGCTTGCTCAGTGTCAATCCTGCCCCAGTCAGATCACCTCCTTAGGAAAGAAAGACCCTTGACTCCATTTGATTTGAAGTGATAAGATTCTTTTACTAAAGGGTGCCGGATGCAATAAAATCAGGCTAGAACTAAATTTCCCACCCAAAAGCATAGAGACTTGTGTCCCCCCCCCAATTTGGCCCTTCCCCCTTGACCAGTCCATCTCCAACCAATGGGTGGATGTCTAGGTGTTTTGAGAACTGTGTGATGTTTGGAGCAACTGACACTCTATTCCCAAGCATCTCTGTTTTCTCAGTCTCCTTGAAGATCGGCACAAACTGGTTCAAAGCATCCCTGGTCTTCCTCAACTGTCATTCCCCCCTCCTGGTTTCCCAATGCTAAATTAATACATGTTTATTGCCCATTTGGTCCCTTGCTTCCTTCTCTCCCCGTCCCCAGCTATTGATGGCAGGATGCCGATGAGGCTCAGAGCCAAAGATGACAGAACTGACATTCAGGAATTCTGGGAGTTGAAGTCCACAAGTAATAAAAGGGCCATGGTTCCCCACCTCTGCTCTATAGGAAGTCTGTTGAAACCATATTTTAAACAAACTCCCTTCTGCTGAAGAGATCACCTAAGCTATTTAAGGGGAAGCAACTTAGCTACTATGGGAAGCCTTGAGCAGGTGAACCAGGTGGTGTCTGGAGAGCTAGCATCAAACAGGCCCATTTCCTCTTCTTCTCTCCCTCCCATTGGTTGGAAAGAGAGATGTCTTTGTGACATGTTGTAGGAGACTGTTCCCTTAAGGCACGGGGGTCAAACTCGCTGCGTCACGTGACGCGATGTATTGTGACTTTTTTTGCATTGCCGAAGCTGAGGTGGGCGCAGCCTCCATATGATGCAACTGGCCTGCGGGCCGGCAGTTGGACACCCCTGCCTTAAGGTCTTGACAACTGAAATGGCTCTGGAGAGGGAGAATGGCAGGGCACACCTGCAGTAAAGCCTCAGGGGTGACCAAAAGGGTATTCAGTGTGTCAGCACAGCCGGTTGCAAGAATCTTCCCAGTCCTAGAACTGGCCAGAAACCATAGAACATTTATTGTACAGGTTCAATAAACACATATATCAAATAGATACTGTATGTTGTATTATTAATCAAACATTCGTTCCTATGGTCACAACCCATACTATTAATAAGCTCAGAATGTACAGTACTTATTTGGGGCATTATGTATATAACAACAGTGGGCAAAATTAAATTTTTGGAGACAAAAAAAGCAAAGAGCCAGTATAGACCTACTAAAGAAAACAACCTCAACTTTAGTCATGTACTTCCCTTCCCCTCTCCAGAGCTGCGGAGAAATTAAATGAGATATGCTCCCCTTTTCTACTTTACTATAGTCTTTCTCAGAATGTCACAACCACAAAACAGCTTTTCAGGGACAGTGGCTGGGGTAGGTCCAGGAGGATGCTGGGATTACTAGTTACGATAAACAAAAGGGGTTCTTTTGGGGTAACGTTTTACAAGGGGAGTTCCATAGCAGATTATTGATATACACAAACCCCATTTAATCAGAATATTCACTGTCAAAAAACAATTGGCAACAGGCCGTGGCATTCTTGGGGACAGGAGTATTGCAATTACTCAGGGAGTAATTATCAAAAAGATCTAGCCACTTGATCTGGGTTTGGGGAAACAAACTTTCTGGAGAGCAGCAGGGCCAGAAACAATGTTTGCCCTTCGTGCCAGTCCTCTCGTTGAGATTCGGCGTGGGCTGCTGCTTTTCATGGGAAAGGAACAGGAGCTTAGCCTTCTTTTTCTTTCTGTCCTGGAGACTGCCTATCTTTTTCTCACTCAAAGCCAGAGGCCTCAAGCTAATACTACCAGATTCCCTCAGATCTCTACAGGAGTGTTCCGCAATGGAACGTCCTTTTCCTGTTGTTTCTTGTTTTACATCAGTTCTGGAATATTTCAAACCATTTCCTTTCCTGGAGGGGTACATTCTTTTCCTCTGGCTAGACAACCGTGGCTTGCCCTGTTTAACTCTGTTTCCTTTGCTTTTATTATTATTCATCTTGCCTGCAATGAGTTCCTGGCTTTGCCCATCACCTGCGCCGTCTCGCACGAATCCGTCCTCCATTTCAGGATGGCTTAGCAGTGAATGTTTTGTAGCACTGTGGCCTTTTGATTGGTTGTTTCTCTGGATCACTTTCCTCACCGGAGTAGCTTCGTTGGGCTCTTGACTAAGGAACCAGTTTCTCTCTTGGCTTTTTGCAAGAAGACCTGCACTGGAGCAGCAAAATGTCTTCTCAGCATTGGGGCCTCTGTCTGGAACACGCCTCCTCCGCTGCGTGTCAACCTTTTCTCTGCTTTCTGAGGCAGCTTTATCAGAGATGTCTTTGTTTGCAGGAGAGATGTTTAAAACGTTCAAGTGGCAACTATAAGATAATTGGTTCAACAGAATATCTGGAGAAGTCTGGGAGCTGCTGTCCTTGAGGCGATGAGATTCTCTGGGCGCACAAATGAATGCTTGTAAGTCATCCAGAATTTTGGAGAGCTTCACGGGGTCCAAATGTTCACAGATCTTCAAGTGCTGCTGGTTCTGCTGAACTGTAAATTGCTCCAGGCTATCTTTTAGTAACCGTAGGCTAGACGTCAGATCTGAGATTTCTGTGTCTTTCTGTGTGAAAAGTGGTCACGACAGCAGAGATAATGGTTAAGATGGGTTTTAAAAATGCTTTCATTCCTATACAATACTGCAATATAAGTTATTGAATTTTCCTCTCCACTGAAGGGCATTTCATGCATTGTATTTTCCTTATAAAGTGTGGAGGAAGTAGGGATGGGTTTTTAGATAGATAGATAGATAGATGAGACATATAAAGAATTTATTGTTATGCCTTGAAGCCAAACACACAACAACTTCAAAACACGTGAACTGTAACTAACATTTGTGCGACTTTCACTACATCACGAAACAGACAAGTGATTTCTTACTTTGAATTTCCCATCTATCAAAAAAGACATCCCCCCCCCTCCTCCACCTTGGGATTTTATCAATTTTGGGGTACATCCAGTATCATATAGGACTGTAATTTGTACAAAGCAACTAAGAGCAGCACATGTAACATCTCCGCTCCTCAAACTGCACTGGGTATCTGTTTACTTCTGGGTTCCATCAAGGTGTTGGTTATGACTTACATGTCATGTACATGCTCCTACATGGCATAGGGCAGTGATGGCGAACCTTGTAGAGACCGAGTGCCCAAACTGCAACCCAAAACCCACTTATTTATAGCCGGGTGCCAAGTAGGCGTGGCCCACTGGGTGGGTGTGGCTGTGGTGGTCATGGCAGACTGGGTGACTGTGGCCAAAGTGGGCATGGTCACCTCGATGTTGCTCATGGGGAGGGACACCTGTGGGGGCCGGGCAGCATTGGGGGAGATCCAGGAGGGGTCTCTGGCAGGTGGGGCGGTGGGCAGGAGGCTTGTCCTCCAGGGTGAGGCAAGGCAAGGCGAGGCAGGGCAGGGATGCCATTGTCACAAGGCAAGGCGAGGCAGGGGTCGGGGTGGCTGATGCCTGACACCGTCGGCCCCCGCACACAGAGGCCAGGGAGCGCATGGGGGCCAACAGTGTCTATCAGCAGCCACAGCCTGCCGGCCCCTCAACCAGCGCACTCTGGGGCTCCACAGCCCACTGCCAGCAGTTCAGAGAAGCTGCCTCTGAGCTAGATGGCCAGTCGACAGCTGAGGAGCCGATGCAGTGGGTTGTGCCCGGGAAAAGGAGAGCATGCGAGGCCAGGAGGGATGGGATGGGGAGGGAGGGAGGGAAACCAGCCGTGCTGGGATGCATCCGGCCATATGGGATCTCGGTAAGTTAGCAGGCGGCTGGTTGAAGAGGGACGGTTGCCATCTCCGGGGCATGGCGCGTGTGCCCACAGAGAGGGCTCTGAGTGCCGCCTCTGGCACGCATGCCATAGGTTCGCCACCAGTGGCATAGGACCAGGCTATCTATAGAAACAACTTCGTCCAATTGTATTGGCCTGTCCCACCCAGTCAGGCAGAGAAAGCATGTTGCAGACCCCGTCAGTTAAAGAACTCTGACTGGCAGGGTGTAGGAAGAGATTCTTCCTTGCCATGGCCCCCACCCTGTGGACTATTCCCTCCCTCAGAGGTGAGGCAGGCCCCCACTCTCCTGGTCTTCTGAAAAGCAGTTAAAACATGGTTCTCTGACCTCACATGGGGAACCCAAAAGAGCACGCAGCTGTGGGGCTGGTTGCTGCCACGAGAGCCTCCCTTCACCTTTCTTAATTAATTTTTAACATAATTTTATTATTCTTGTCTCCTTTAAAAATTTTAATTATAAAATTTTAATCGTAGATACTGTTTTTATACTTTGAGGTTTACTGTACACCACCCAGAGAGTCCCTCTTTGAAGGAGATGGGTGGTTCAGAAATGAGGGGAAAAAAAATCAATAAAATAAAATGACCTTACTTTCTTTCCTCTTACATCCCACATGTCCCCAATGGGCTCTGCAATTCTTAAAAGCAAAGACTGAGGATGGACACCTAGACAAACCCTTTGATTTTATTGTCTGTAACATGAGATTATGTAGTTTCATCTTTTAATATGCTGTAAGCTGCCTCTGGAGAGTTAAATGATCATAACATTTGTTACAGATGTCAGTTTTCAAAACTTTTTAACACTGAGGAACCTAGAGTATTAAAAATGTAATTCCACAGTGGTAGTTTTGAAAGCTGAAATCCATAAAAAAAGATTCTGATTTGGGGTCTCTTTGTAACCTTAATAGATTTTCTACACTCCGAGACCCTTATTAACCCACATCAGCTTCTTGGCTGTCTTCAAAATGCTATACTGTAACCCCAGGGCAAAATATTTTGTTCTGCTAATGAAAGGGAAAAATGTTAGCATGAAGCATTCCTTTACAGAGAGCAGTCTTTTTGTCTTAAAAAACATCTCTAACCTAGTTATCTAGAAGGTAAGAATTAAATGGTTCAATCAGACAAACAATGTTAATTTATTAAGTCATCAGCATGACATAGATATTAACGAACCAAACCTTAGTAAGGTCATAATTTTCCCGATTTATTTGCAAAGCTATCCTTGTTTTCATTGTCATATTTTCCCAAGAAAGCGACGTGGTATAGATTCTGAGAGCAGGACTTTTTTATAGGCAGATCTGGCATTTAAGCAATCAATTATAGATCTTTAACATCAGGCAGATAATTACTTAAAAGCAAAATTGACCTATTTTTGTCCAATCAAATAAATTCCAAATAATACATTAATTTTTCTTTCTTTCTTTCTCACTAGCTAAACAAAGAATCTACATACAGGATTAAATAAAGGTAAGAATTTTCCATTACTATTCTAAGTTACATTCTGAAAAATGATTCGTAATGCATGCAGCGTGTGGTCATGTAACTTTTATAAATGTATTTCACTGATAGGCTATCAATGATGGCAAACATGCCGTTTCTGCAACTTTAGGTTTTGATTTGCAGAGTCTTTAACATCTAAAAAAAGATTGCATGATTATTTCATAACATATGATAACATAACATTAGGCTCTGTCTCTTAAGACACAACCTGATTAGTAGACTATCTCTTCTGAAGAAACAGTGAAACTAGGGCAAATTTCAGCTTGGTAAAGAACAATTTCACACTTACTTCTTGCAGCCTTTTCTCCATTCCCAGTAATACCTGTCCCATTTCATTTTTCTCACCAAGAGCATTCAGTAACAGTCCATAATGGGACTGAGAGGTTTCTTGCACTAGACAGAGAAATCAATATAAACCACATTTATTTGTCACCTGAATACATGAATAAAATGCCATTCCAGGTTTTTCAATGGAACTGGATTGAAATACTATACTTTAGTGACAAGTGCATTCCAGAGCAGCAAGAGACAACCCAGTTTAGACAGGTTGCCAAAGACTAATGTAGATGTAACGTTTAACACAGATGGAGGGCTGAACAATTTACACAATGCTATTTGGTTTAACATTAAATTAACTAAAATACTTTAAGAACAAAATGTTGTCCTCTTTGTGTGGTCTGTGAAGTTACTTTTGCTACAATGATCTGATAAGAATAATCCTCTCAAAATATTACTTTTTGTTACTTAATTGTTACTCGTAATCAACATCCAAAATAATTTTATCTCTCAGTCGATTCTGCCTCTTTCCTCTCTACCCTTATTTCTCCATTTCTGTTCTGATCCCACAACTGTGAGTAGTTAAAAACCTCAGACACACTTGATGAAGTAGACCGAGATCCACAAAAGCTAATATGATAATAATTAGGTTAATATTTAAAGAGCCATGAGACTCTTGTGATGGCTTTGCACAACGAAAACATTCTAACCACTTGGTAGCTTTTGTCTTAAATTCCATTTATGGATTACACACACACAGAGAAAAAGAGGCTGTTGTAATTTCTACATCTTTCAACTGCGCCTTTCAGTTCTGCTCCACTCCTATAGAATATTCAGTCTGGGACACACAGAATTAAAGGAGAATATTTTCTTGGAGTAACATTTTGAAATTTTTCAAGGTTCTGGAATGTTCTTCCATAATGTACCTACATTCTTTATTTAATAACTTATATGGCTGCCCAGATTATGTTCAATAACCCTGAGCCGCTCACCAAAACAGCAATCAAAATGGAAACAATAATCCAACAGCCAAAAAAACCATTCCTGGCAGCCGCTAAAACACCCTTCCATATGTCTACATTACAGTTACTGAACTCATCCTGTAATCTAAAACTTGGAGGACGAGAGACAGCTCTTCAAGGGGTTAATGATCAAGGGAGATGTGGTAGAAAATAGTTTGGATTTCCAGCAGGGAGAGATGCATTCCAGAGGAGTAAGAAAGAACCGAGTTGGAAGACGGATAAGATAGTTCCTCCGTAGGAGTTCTCACTGTCTATCTTTAATGATGCCAGTAGTAAGCTTTAATTTGACAAGGTTTCTGTCTATAGGTGAGGAACAATAAAGGAAACTGCTTAGAAGAAACTCAGTGTGTCTTCCTTGTTTTTTTGAAGCCTGATATCAATCTTGCCCAAAAAAAAAAAGCAAACTTCTTGCATCGTTAAAGATATGCTCCGAGAACTCCTAGGGACTTGACTTTCTTCCTCCCAGTCAAATTATCTAAACTTCACTATTTTTTGTTTCACTGAAATGCAGCCCCTCCTTGTTGGGGAGCTGGACCATCTTCCACCACAGGATAACGCCCATGACCACAACACACAGCACTCAATCTAGTTCTCCTCCTCATTTCACATTTGATCTGACAAAGGTAGTTGGTGGTTAACCACTGCCATTTGGTATTTGCACCAAGTTGCTTGTTTTCTAAAATCTTGCCCGCTTGTGGAATATGGATAATAAAATTGAGCAGATGTCATGGTTCCAATTAACGAAACATTTCAAAGAACTTCTGGGCATTGGTTAGCATTGCTAACATTGGATGTTCTTGCTTTGACAGCAGACTTAATAAATACACACATTCCATCATGTATCACATTTCAGAAAATCTTGGAAAATTCAGATCCTAATTTGCTACAATCGGAAGACAAATGTATTGTCAGTACTATATTTGTCAAGGGAGTAGGTCCAGCTGAAGGTAACTGAAAAGGATAATTCTGATGTCAGTTACTGAATTTCTATTTTCAAAGGCCTTGCTCAATTCTAATTAGGCGAGACAGATTCCTAGTTCTGGTATGGCCTCACAATGTTCCCTACTCCATTTAATGAATTGACCCTATGCAGAGAAAACTTGAATAGGCGGAAATGTTTTGGCTTTCCACATACTTCTCCCATTTACTCCCATTTATTCAAATGAAATGATGATGAAAGTTATAGAGGCTACATGTTTGTAATCCATCAAGGGTTGTTAAAAGATATGTTTAGGAATTAGCTTGTTTCTGATTTCCTGGCTAAATCTAGAACATCTGAAATGGAAAATTGTCCTTGACGGATGAAGCAACAGTTAATCTCCCCCAAAAGTGGGTCTTTCACATATGCTACAAAACTAGGGAGGAGTGCTGAGAGAACAGGCAAAAAAAAAAAGCAATAAGAAAAAAAAGAAAAGTAAGAGCCTGCTTATGAATTCAGCCTGTAAGTGGGTGAATGATCTCTATTCAATGATCCTCTCTAAAAAAAAAAAAAAATCTGCTGAATCCCAAGAGTTTATTTTAGCTAGGCTGAATGTAAGCATTGTATTCTGTGTGTGATTGCTGCCTTCCCTTATTTTCACTGTATATCTCTTTTCTCCCAAGCAATTCTTTGTATCTAGAAATTTAACTTCATTGGTTTTATAAGAGAATTTCACATTATAGGATTGGCATATAGTTAAGTTCTGTAATTCTGGATTTGGGGCAGGAAAATCAAAACTACTTTTGACTTCTATTTTCCTAATTTTGAGTTGAATGGAGAAGCCCTGAATAGAATCATTAAGAACAGCCTGATGACTGGGAAATTTGGGGAGTTGAAGTCCACAAATCCTAAAGTTGGTGAGGTTGAGAAATACTGGCCTAGGGCAGTGGTGGTGAACCTATGGCATGGGTGCCAGAGGTGGCACTTGGAGCCCTCTCTGTGGGCACACCTGCTGTTGCCCCAGCCTTGCCTTCCCCCGTGACCCCCTCCTCTCCAGCAGCCCCCCTGAAGGAGAGTCGCCCTCGAGCGTGGCCCACATGGAGCAGTGCAGCCAAGGACATGGCAGCCAGGCAGCGTAGACAACACTCTGCCCTCACACCCCATCATGCAGTTGATGCTGCAGGACGTGGGCAAAGGGTGTGGCCACCATAGCGCTGCTGGGCTGCCTGGGAGATCTGCGGTGGGCCCTGGAGGTGGTGAGTGGTCCTGTGGGCAGGCGGGGCGGAGCAGGGGTGGACCAGAGAGGTGGAGCGGGGGCAGGGTCAGTTTTTGGACACTCGGTCTCTAAAAGGTTCGCCATCACTGGCCTAGGGTATGTCAGGAGGTTTTATCTATTTATTTATCAATTTTTTTTTTATTGAAAATTTTTAAAATTTTTACAAATAAAGAAGAAAAAAAAACAAAAAACAAAAAACAACCCTACCCCACCCACCCCAACCCTCCCTCTCCATCCCCCCAACCTTCCCAGAGCTGAGTATAGGCTTAATTAGAATTTCTAAGAATCTTAAGAAAAATTAAGAAAGTATAAATCATAAATATATCTAAATACATTACATAAACAACTTATAAAATAATTGACAATAATATATATATAAAAAAGGCATAAATATTGAAAAGAAAGAGTACTTGAAAGGAAAAGAAGAAGAAAAAAAAAGAAAGAAGAAAAGAGATATATAAAAAATACAATCTATAAAATATTAAAATTTATATATAAGTTATTGAAAAACTAAATAATATTTTTTTATATTCAATTTATGTTGTATAAAATCTATCCATTTTTCCCATACCGCAAAAAATTTCTCTTGCGATTGGTCCTTTAAGAAAGCCGAAATCTTTGCCATTTCCGCCAAATAAGAAACTTTAAAAAACCACTCTTGCAAGGTAGGCAAAGATTCCTTCTTCCAATATTGCCCTACTAACAGCCTTGCGGCTGTAATCAAATTTAACATCAATATAACCTCCTTAGCGTCACAATTGTCACAATCTGTAACAATACCTAACAAAAACAATTGTGGGGTAAATTTTACCCTCTTTCTAAAAATTCTTTGAATATTCCACCATATCTTAATCCAAAAAGCTTTTATATTTTTACACGACCACCAAATATGATAATAAGTAGCATCCAAACAACCACATCTCCAACATTTAGGCTGTATGTCAGGATACATACGAGACATTTTTTGTGGATCAAGGTGCCATCTATAAAACATCTTGTAAAAATTCTCCCTTAAGTTCTGGGCTTGTGTAAATTTAACATTCCTCACCCAAATAGTTTCCCAGGTATCTAGTAGAACTGGTTCACCAAAATTTTGTGCCCATTTAATCATACATTCTTTGATTAGTTCTGGTTCTGAATCCAGTTCTACGTATTTATTTATCAAATTTGTATGGCACCCATCTCACAAAAAAGTGAAATTTGATTGGCGGCAATCTAATCATAATTATCTTTCATTGGGGAACCCTTGGAAGGAGAAAATTTCCACAATACTTTTAAATTATTTCCTCTCCAGTTTCTAATAATGAAATACATAAAGCACATTTACAAGAATTTAAAATTAGGTATTGCTACTTCTGATTATTTTGGTAACAGCTGAGACAAAAATATGTAGTAAGAATAACTGACGGTAGACTAACCCTGTGAAGCTTAATCCACATAAACCAAGAAGGACTTGGTAGAAGAAGAAAATCTAGGATGAGGCTACTATTCAGTTGTCGGTGAAACAGCCATCACTATTTCTTTTTTTCCCCAGTGTATATTTTGTTTTTAATTTTTTAAGTTTACAACTCATAAATGCTTAATAAACAACCTGTTGTCTGGGTCTTATTCTAATAACATGTAGTAAAATCCTACTCTCTATGCCATTTTTCCAGCCATTGGTAAAATGCATCCCATATTTGAAAATATTCAGTATCTTCTTTTTCTTTAATCTTCAAAGTGAGTCTATCCATTTCTGCAAATTCCAGTATTTTTTAATTATGTCCTCTTCATAACTTCTTGGTCTGTGTTTTCTATTTCTTGCTCTCCTTGTGCAGCTGCCTCTTCTAGTGCAACCTCTCTCTGCTTTCGATATTCCTTATCTATTTGAAATTCTGAACTTTTTTCTTCAAAGAAAAAT